CAACGAGGCGAGGACGGATCATTATACACGGGAAACGGGAGATTATCAATAATTCTATAGACCAATGTTACACACTAGGATAAATTTTGAGCACTAAGTTTTTCTATCAAATAGTTCAGTGAATTTTGAAGAATATGAAGATTTATGATTGATGGTCCTTTCCGTAAAACCGCGGACTTTTTTCAAGAGACCGGGAAATACAACTGGAGAATACTAAAATAAGATGAAAAACATGGATAGACAGATTTGGAAAAGCAGAGTTCATGAAGAATTAATCTAAAATAATTTGAGCTTATCTATCGAACAAGGATTTTTGCTGCGCGGAGCAGGAGTTGTTTTGCCCTATACTTTACAGTCAACTGTATTGAAATACCTTCATCATGGTCACCCTGGCATCAGTTGCATGAAGGCGATCACTGAAAGTTAGGCCCATTTGTGGATCCGCAAATTGAACACGTAGTTAAAGCTTACTACAAATGTTTAATGGCAGTTAGGCTACCATCTACGGGTGAACTTCAATCATAGCAACCGTCCTCGGCCCCCTGGTCACGCATTCATGGTGATTTTGCTAGCCTGGTTGATGCATATTCCCAGAGGCCTGCAGTTATTCCAATATGTGTTATAACTACATCTGCCGTTATAACAAAACTCAGAAGATTATTTGCCCAGTTCGGTATGCCGGCAGTCCCGGTTTCAGATAACGGCCCACAGTTCACATCTTCACAATTTGCTGTGTTCTGTGCGCAAAATAATATCCACCATGTTCGTACTGCTGTGTATCACCTGCAAACGAACGGTCAAGTAGAACGATTCGCTGACACGTTTAAACGTTCTATGATCAGTTCACACGGGGAAGGTAAACTACATCGGTCCATTGATGCATTTCTCCTCACTTTACCGCTGCACTCCCAACCCAGTTATTCCAGACCAGAAGTCCCCGGCGGACTTGTTTCTAGGTAGACGAATGCGGATAGCTCTCGACATCACGATTCCCAGCGCGCAAGATATTGCAGAATTTCGAACTATGCTCATACTCACATTTAGAACGCATTTTCAGGCAAACAGTTGTTTTCAATAACTCATAATCATGCCGCTACAGTTTATATGAGGGGTAAAAGCCGAGGGATTGGGAGGAGTGTAATAAAGTGTGAGGAATCGTTCACACAGACAAAAAGTGAACGATTCCTCACATTTTATTATTCTCCTCTCAACCCCTAGGTTTTTTCACCTCATATAAACTGTAACGACATGATTATGAGTTATTGAAAAC